ACACTATATTTACCAAGTGTATTATTATTTAATAGTTATAATTTATTATGTACGACCAATTGACTATTATTTGTACATAGATAAATGTCAAAATTCTTGACATAAACATTTTTATATCAGTGCGTTAACAATTTGAATAACGTTCAATAAACATTTAACAACTCATTTAAGTGAAGTTAACCGGACACTTCAGGTCACAATATCGTGTTGTGTGTACCTACCTACTCTACCTACCTATCATTGATCTAAATGTGCTATATTAATTTTGCAACACTGGCTTAGCAAAATGAAAAGAGTTCAACACACACTTATTAAAAATACATTATACAATGTTTAAACTTTAAAGTCATATTCATTTTTATACAAACAAATACAATAATTTCAATACCTAACGACTTTATTAAACTGTGTACAATATTAATTATTGTAGGACGTTGAATAAATTATGTGCTCGTCAAAAATATGGTTGTTGAATGTGTTTGATACCATGCAAATGCACTAAAATGTTTTTATAAGACTGCTTCCAAACAAAATATATTTTTTTTATAAGCGTCAATATTAAGTTGTGCATAGTATGTGTGTATAAAAAAAATGGATGCAAAGGTCAAATGGGCGAAAGCCAAAACCAATATAAGAGGCAGACAAATCAATAATTCTATGATGCGAGCACAATTATTATTATTATATGGTGGCATTAATGGTCGAAATGTTTTTCTTATCTATTGACAACTAACACTCACTCACATATTTTGTAATTTATATATTTATTTATAAGATAGGTTACTCTTTAAAACAGTCTTCACTCGTATATATATGATTTTCGTACACATACTTCTGTAGTTCAGTGTGTTTGTGTTCAAAAATGAGATTTTAAGACAAACAGAAATACTGAAATAAGTTTAAGTGCACAACAATCACAGCCATTGCTGTAGATATTGATGACATTATAAGTATCTATTATATTTTCTTTTCTATGGGAACATCGTAGAAGAAATTAAGTTAAGGGTATGTAATTTTAATTTCCAAGTACATCATATATATAATATAATATTTACATTCTTGTGATGTAGTTAAACTAAAACTAATTTAGAATACCTAGTTATTCAATTTTGGACTTTTAGTCTTTATCTCATTTTTTAATATAATATATTATATTACTGGAAGTTAGATTTGCATATAAATAAATTAACATTTTCGATTTTTTCTTTAAACCAAGTTCTTTTAAAAAAGTTTTTATAACATCTTACTAAATTTAAAAATTGTTAAGATGCGTATTACATAGTAATATCTTTAAGAAAACTTGTTTCACACTCTAATTTCTTTAATAAAAACGAAAGATACTTAAAAAAGTCATTTTTTTTGTAACAAAAAAATAAATTGAAAACATCTTTTAAAAAGTTTTTTTTGTTTTTTTGAAACTATTGAAACTTTATACGTTTTTCTCATATCTTACGTATAAAATATAATCAGAGGTACTTATGGATAAATCACTACTACCTATAAACAATAAATATAGTTAATTTCATAAATGATATAAAAATAAGAACTCTTATTTTGAGTGATATTTAATTTACTCAATACCGCATTAGATTAACTAGGAATATGAATTATTTTATGGTATCAGCTACCTATCACAATACTTTTTATATAATTATAAAAAGGAAAATAAGTACCTATAGTATCTACCTATAAACAATATACATATTCAGCGACATTGGAATACATTTTTACGTGATTATTCATCGGCGTTGTATTATAATATTAAATTATCTTATAATATCAATACAATATAATCTTGCACATCTCCTTGCGTGGTAAAACATGATGTGATTAACACAATATTGGGCACATCTTGTGCTTCCACCAGAGCGGATTGCTATTACACATTTGCACTTGAAATACATACAATATTTTCTCAAACAAACGTTGGTTAACACCACATTTGATTTCAAGATTGAATGTCCGCAAAAAAAGGGCAACAATTTAAGTCCTAAAAAAGAATGTCCGCAATAAAATGGTCCAATAAAAATGTTTGCAATAAAAAATCCCAATAAAAAATGTGTAAAAACAAAACGCACAAATAATGCAGTAGAAGGATACCATTGTAAATTTCAAAAACTTTTTGTTGTTTTGTCCATCACAGTAATATATGAAAGTTTTTAGATTGGCTAAAAAAAAAGTAGAACATTAAATCCATAAAATACTATTATTCAAAAAGGGTCTGGTCGTACAAGAATTAAATAATCGATTAATAAATTATTATTAATAAATGATACGAGATATTGTATTAAATAGGAGAATAAACATTCATTAGCAACTATAAACAATATAGATATTATCCGAAATATAGACTGAACAATTATTATTATACGTTTCAATATGCAATAACTAAATTGTATATCGAAAACCGACGAACACATCAGCAATATATGTAGATAGTTATTAATTGTAACTTATATTGTCTTTATTAATTTAATTAGCTATATGCCTATGTATAACGTGTGTATATTGGTCATTGGTGATCCAATAAAACAGTCTAGTTTCTTGTTGACCAAACAGAATTCAAAAATATGTATAGGGTATACTGACTAGTGAGTAATATTGGTGATTTAATTATTCAGTGTACCCTGTTTTCGCGGATACGTCATGTTATATGCGTAGGTATATGCTACTGTTTATGTATTAAATTGCATATAATCTATGCGGGAAGTTAAAAAAAAAATGGGACATTTATAAAATGTATTATAATGTTATGCTACATGCAATTTTGTTCTGGACATAAATTGGGGATATATTTTCGTGGACATTCTGTAGCAGAATACCCCGCAATGATTGTCGCTCATCAATTAGCACTTATTGCAACATATAGTGTGATTATAATTTAGAATTTATGAGATCCAGTGGGGGAGGGTGAATACAGAATATGTATAATATGAGAATGGTAAGTGGATCGGTATTATCAGTACATCATAATATAATATACTTACGCATTATGCAAATAAAGTGCCCGAGTGCCTCATTAAATTAAATAGTACAGTATATTATATACATTTTGATATTGTATATTTGTATCTGATGATCTGATAATATTAAATCAATTTCAAAACGACTATATTATTAACCTTTTGTGTGATATAATAAATAGACTATAATATACAATACCCATTCATGTTTGGCATATTTGTATAACAGCTGCACACAATCAACTCATTGTTTCTAATGATATTATCATGCTCGATATATGACGATACACGATATTATATTATGTACACGTAAATTAAATGTTTATGTTTTATTGTAATGCACGAAATATTAAGGCCGACGAACGAATCAGTAGTCGAAAGTCAATAGATTTACGGTGGTTGGCTTACCTCGGCTGTGTTCGTACACACACACATATACCTAAATATATATCACTTCACCAGTATCGTTTTAAATATTTATTAACGACTTGGGTAATTTAGGGTTAAGCGAAATACAAGTGGATGAAACTGCCCTAATGGCTCAAGGGAGAATTATACGGTTACACCGAAGCCATTAACAAAACCTAGTTTAAAAACCAGTCACCTCATCGTAAGTCATTGCCAATTGGTATAACTACCTAGGTGCAGATAAAAGTGTGTTGTTGAGAGAAAAACTTTTTCGAACATTTAAAGTATATTTTTTCATTTTACATTTCAAGTAACTACCTAAAGTAACAGCCTACAAAAAACCAATCATATTCCAGAAAAAAATGCATTTGAATAATCAAAATAAAAAATAATACAGTTAAAGTTTTTTTTTTTTTTTTTTTTATTAGATAAAAATAGAGTATTTACAATCTGTAGTATTTATATACAACAATAAGTAAATTTGATATCAAAAAAAAAAAACTTGATGGTACAAAACATGAATGGCTGTAGGGAAAAGTTATTAAATGAAGCACAAAATAGGTTACACAAAAGTTGATTTTTAAATTTAAACATGGGAAATTGGTTTGTACACATAATAAAATGTGAAAAATTAAATTAAAATGAAACGAAATTTTCTATATCAAAATAAGAAAATAATAATGAGAACAATTGTGCGGGTTTTCCTTAAATCATATGAAGTGTGAATACAAGTACCTTCGTAATGAAACGTGCTACATTATTGAATATTATATTTAAAAAAAAAGTTCATATTTAATTTTATTATAAACCATACACTATATTTTATACTATACTCAAGTCATTACGAAAGCACACTCCTTTAACGAACTCTGTTTGTTCCGAGTTTTATACACTTGACACTTTGGTAGTAAATTGCATTTGCACTTCAAGGTTTATATGCGAATAAATAATTGTATTATATTATAATATGATCATATTGGAATTTGACATTCAATTATAAAATAACAAAATAATGTGATTTTCTTAAGTATCTATATTAGTTTAAAAGTTATAATATTAGGTAATAGTCTACCTATTTATTAATATAGTAATATTATTATTAAATACCGCTGTGGCAGGAATATGGTCTATCTACAGTAACGAGATTATTATATTTAGATGTGACTCAATGTACTACTTTATTGGCAATTTAGGTATTAATAAAAATCGTACACTGATTATAGATAATAGGTATATATTAGCTTAAAATATTAATATTATTATGGTTTATAATCAAATTAAAAATGAAAGGTTTTTAAAAAAAAAATATAATATTCAATAATGTAGAACGTTTCATTAACGTAATATTATTAATAGATTATATAATTTGTTATTATTACGTACATCGCCAATATGGAGTAAGTACATGCAGTCAAGTTTATAATATATTATAATAATCTCGTGACTGTCGACATACGTAATAATATAGCGTCTCGTCGTACACCGACGTCAGCTGGCAATTTTTTTTTTAAGTGTATTTTCCCGTCAACAATACATAATTTTTTTGTTTGATTTTCTTTATAGATCCCACGCGTATTGCTGTTGCTGCTTCTAGGACACCCCAACGTTAGCACAATATTACTTAGAAAAATGAGCGTCGACTGCGTTTACACCAGTGCAGTGACGTTGCTGCTGTGTTGTTCGGCCGTCCTGGGCCGGCCGTCGTCCAATGGTGGAGCGGACGGTGGTGGCGGCGGGGGCGGCGGTGGAGGCGCCGGAGCCGGTGGTGGCGGTGGAGGTGGTGGCGGTGGTGGCGGTGGGTCATCTGTGGACGACACCGACGAGAGCCCGGTGGTGGTGACCAGCTCCGGCATGGTGCAGGGCTACACGAAGATCATTGCGAACCGCGAGGTGCGGGTGTACACGGGCATACCGTTCGCCAAGCCACCGGTGGGCCCCCTAAGGTTCCGGCGCCCGGTGCCCGTTGACCCGTGGACGGGAGTGCTGAACGCCACTAGGCTGCCGAACACGTGCTACCAGGAGCGGTACGAGTATTTCCCCGGGTTCGTTGGCGAGGAGATGTGGAACCCGAACACCAAGCTTTCCGAGGACTGTCTGTACCTGAACATCTGGATACCGAAGAAACAACGCACCAGGCACCATTCGAACAACGCGCATCACGCCAAGGTGAGTCTGATTCACCTGCACTCGTTATATTTACTATGTTTGAATCGAGTACTCGTAATTCGTAATACAGTGTACTGCAACACATGATTACGGTATAGTAGGGGCCGGGGTAGGGGGAGGGCTTCGGCTGAGAGCCAACCTCAGCGATACTATATTCCAAAGATTATTACCCTGCATTGGCGTGTATTGATTAATTCACATAAATTATTAATCTTTGACAGCGTATACCTTTATATTATATACCTACTAAACCTATACAATATATATTTTCTGTATGTATAGTTGATCAACAGAGTTAGGATGTCTTAGCTCTAAATAAAACTCTTAGACAAAGAATATAAATTAAAGCAAAAAATCACCAATTTAAAAAAAAAAAAACACTTCAAATTATTTTCAAAAACCTTTGAAAACCTATTATTAAATGTCTTTTTTCGGATGCATGTCAATTTATTGAAAACAATTTATCACAAGACAATTGCTTGAAAAGTTTTGATCGAAAAACAATTCCTCGCAAACGACAATAAATTGTTAGCTAAAAGTTATTATACATAATATATTACAGCTATAAATTGCAATTAGTTTGATTTGTATCTACATGAGTGCTTACCGTTATCATAAATAACTGGCCTTTTTTAAATTTCAATAATGGGCAATTACAAATGTCGCCAGACTTAGCATTTGGACCGATATTCGTATAATCTTATGATATAAAGTTATTATTATCCAGAAAATTAAGGAATATTAGAACCCTTTTCAGATTATTTTGAAAATAAACAGTAAAGTAAATTAGACAGACGAAGTATTAGAGAACAACAAAAAATTTAAATTTAAATTTAGAATTTTTTTAAGAACACATGAAGGTTACAACAATAATTTCGTTGAAGGTTGAAGCAACTGTTTTACGACGATTTTAAGTGGGAAACATCCATCTTTATGGCGTTTTATTGAAGCTTTAAAAATAGAAAAAAGCATCAATTGACTTTGGCAATATCTTTTTGGCAACGAACCTCCAAAAAAATAAATAATTTGCTAAGATAGAGTTAAGAAAATAGAAAAATTTGCTCTGAATAAAATGATTGGAACAGTGATAATTATCACTGTTGTATAGACTTTAATTTTAATAAATTATGATAATATTGGTTTACATTGGTTTTGTATTGTTTTTAAACTTTTACTTATTTTGTTTTTTTGACGTACGCGCGTTGTCTTGGCCATTTTAGTTTTTCGATCAATGTTATTCTGATCAATATAGTCGTTTTCGAACAATAATTTGTGGTGCGATCAATAATGTTTTTGATCAATTGACGTGATAAAGTTTTTTCAATTTAATTTATTATTTACGTACCTATTAGTAGTTGCAGATTAGCTGTCACTACAACAGCAATATAAGTATAATATAACAATATCATTTTTTTTTATAAGTAAGTGATCTTTATTGATAGGTATGTCATTGTATCCAACGTCTTAGTCGCACTATTATTGAAATATAATATACCGTCTATCTACCTCACGATGTATAGAAGATACATATTATATCTTCTCTACATCGTCATCTACCGTAATGTTTGCGTCTCGTATGAAGTCAAAAAATACTGGCGTGTCTCTCCCCAACTCCTCGCGATTCAATTATATGATTGGCTGAAGGTATATTATGTAATGCAGTCGAGTCTCGATCACTCTAGAATCTAGAGAGAAATAAGAATTTATTTTCGAGTTTTACCTTCATATAAGTATACCTTAACAACGATTTAAAAATACTTCAAGGAGCAAGAAAAAAATTTGAGTTATCGGTGTTTCTAAGTAATCGTGGAGATTCGAGTTATTTCGACTCGACATTATATAATAATATTAAACAACCAATATTATATTTTAATCACGAGTAGATGGGAAGAGACACTCGAGTATTTGTTGCTCATATTTTCTTCAGTTTTTTTTTTTTTGAATCATTTCATATCTCACACTCCGATTTTTCCAGCTACTCTCTACAATAGTACATCATATTTTGTGTGTGTGTGTGTGTGTGTGTGTGTGTGTGTGTGTGCAATTACGTCGTCGTGTCACGTGCAGAGAACGCGTACGACAACAGTATAATATATCGGTAGACTGTTTTCTTAAAATACCTTATTGGGTACTTCAAGAGGCAAGAAAAAAATTTGACTTATCTATGTTTTCAACTTTCAAATAATCGTAGAGATTCGAGTTATTTCGACTCGACATTACATAATATTAAACAGCCAATATTATTTAATCACGAGGAGATGGGAAGAGACACGCGAGTATTTGTCGTTTATATATTCTTCAGTTTTGTTTAAGAATCGTTTATTCGTTTCGTATCTCACACTCTGAGTTTTTCCACCTACTCTCTACAATAGTACATAATATTTAGTATGAATGTGTATGCAATTACGTCGTCATGCCACGTGCAGAGAACGCGACAACAGTATAATATATTGGTAGACTGCTTTAATAAAATACCATATTGAGTACTTCAAGAGGCGAGAAAAAAATTCGAGTTACCAAGGCTTTTGAGACTCGACTGTATATTACATAATAAACAGCCAACAATATTATTTAATCACGACGAGCCGGGGAGAGACACGCGAGTGTTTTTTGTCTATATTTTCCTCAGTTTTATTTCGGAATCGTTTATTTATATCTCACACTCCGCGTTGGCGCCTCTGTTTTTTCGTCTACCGTCTACAATATTACATATTATTATTTTGCGTGTGTGTAATTATATCGTGCCTCGAGCAGACTACGTGTGCGACGACAGTTGTATAAAATATTATAATGCAAACAGTTAAAATATCACATTGGATACGACGACCATTGCTCGTTTATATTATAGGTACTATTATATTATACGCCTTGTTATGATATCTACGAGTATACAGTATACACTAATAGATTCGTCAGTTAATCTACAACTTGTTACGCTTCTCCCCTGTGCACGATCAACTTGATTAAAAATCTAAACTAACGAAACTTCCCCTTTCCGTTGCATATTTACACGTATATTAAGTGCTATTATATAAAGCGTGATGTAATAAACATCGTGTAATTATAATAATATAATGTAAATAACAATACGCGTAGTCACTTAAAATGCAATTTTATATCACAACTATTGCAGACGATCGAGGTTTAAGTACCTAATTCGATAGTAACATATATAGGTAAATATACTATTGACTATTCTGATGACATTTTAAGTCAGGACATTGTTGACTATTATTTGAAAATATTAATTATTTGCAGTATACTTTGATAACATCGTATAGGACATAGGCACTAAAAGATTCCATACCTGCCCGTAAAAAATATTCTGTTCAGAAAATTATCTGCAGGTAAGGAAATTAGAAAATCACAGCAAATTATTTTAATAAACAATCGGGTTTAGGTATATGACATTGAAATCGATTTTTTTAAAAAAAAAAAAGCATCGGAAGCTACTTCCCTCTACTACTGCAGTTACCTATAATGGGTGTCGAGTGTACCTCGGCACTGTAATGGTTGTGTTAAATTTGAATTCAATGATTAATCGTTGTATAATATTATGAAAAACGATCCTGAGTGGAAACGGTCTGTCAGCCTTTATAGACTTCTAAGGATATTTTATTATATAATATTTATATTGCTATATCATTGTGATTTATTTTTTCTACCAGTAATAATAGGTTGAACTAATATTTTCCTACATAAAATCGCATATACTATAATATATAGGAGTAAATTAATAAGTATTACAATATATTATTTCATAGGTACAATGTAAAGAATGTTATTAACTTAAAAGTCAAAAGTCAAAACTAGCGCACCGCGAAGAATTGTTTAAAAATAAATTCATAGTATAAATATATAGTATATATATTAGTTATATAACTAAAATTAGGCAATCAAAATATTTTGAAAATTGTATTGTGCGTATGAAATAATAATGTGATGATATACCTACGTAATTTCAGAAAAGTTGCATGTCTTCAGAAATAATATTTTTTGAATTATAAGAAAATAACTAAAATCGTTAGTTTTCGTTTAAAATTTTAAACATCCTGCAATTTCGTTCCAATTTCAAATTCAAATAATGTCTAAAAAAATAATTATATGAGTATGTTATTTGAGATTTGAGATTTTTGTAAGAATAACTTATGAGAAATCTCGTATTACATTCTCAAACCTTAGCTACTTATTAATATTATTATAATTTAAATTGTACATATTTATTAATATTTTCATATTAACAACACAATAGTTTTCAAATGTTCATGATCTTCACGAATTTAGTCAACATCTGAAGTTTGAACTTTATAAGCTTATAAAAAAAGGTTATGTATTCTCAAAATTTTAAATTTCTTAATTAACAACTTATCAGGGTTTTTGTATTTATGTTTCAAGCTTATTTCCTGAATATGAAATATTTTATCAATACTAAAAATAAAAACTAACATCTTTCGAAATATTCAAACTTTAAATTATTAGTTTTAATATTTTGAAAATTTTATTCTGAATGGGAACTAATAATTTATGTAATATTTCAAGTTCAACGTTTTTTTTTAATTATCATAAAATAACCAACATTTTTATTGTACGTGTCAATCCCATCATAATTAGAAACTTCATACGCTCATAAAAAATAAATGTGGTTTTACGGTTAATTTTGTTTTTTAATTCGTGTAAAAGACTTATGAGAAATCTTGTCATAAGTCTTCAACTCTTAGGAATTAAAATTGAAAATGTTATACATTTTTAACTACAAAATAGTTTTTGATTTTGACGACTTTTGTCAAAATTCCAACTTCAAATTCTTATAAGGAATTAGTACAGATTTACGATTAGCTTGTAAGACAAACTCATGAAGAAAATTGTATTAAATGTTCAGGCTTTTTGACTGAGTATAAAAATGTTGATCAACAATAATAAAAAAAAAAATCTAAAAAATCTAAAATGTCAATAGTCTATACATAGCTAAAAAAAAGAGCTAAAATATACTAGAAAATGGTAGTATAAATATTTGGTTAAAATTGCAAGTATCGACGGTTCTTTGTTTTTGAATTACAATAAAATAACAAAATCGATTTCGTCAAAAATTGGTGTTGAGTAAATATTTCTGTTTTTCCGTAATTATTTTTTAGGTTCTCCCAATTATGAAGAAAAATACGAGGAATTTTTACTTTTACCTTTTTACTAAAGTATCAGCTAAATCCAATTTCATAACAGAAACTACCCACGAAGTTGATTCGATCGAAGCTTTTTTTCTGCTATTAAAATATTGTGTTCATACCAATATACAATAAAAAACACTAAATCGTTGTAAAACCAATACACTCATCGCTCAGAATTTAAAAACCGTAATATTTAAATGTTTAAATTTGTCGTGTGCTAAGTTAACCTTTTATATTGACATTTAGATATTACCTTAAAAATTCTTTAATTGTAGGTTTTCGCACGGAGTGTAAATAAAATTAGATAAAAAAAATTGATTCGTGATCTTTGTCCCTTATCGTGCAATTCATTGAAAATAAAATTGACAAACCATTATAAGAACTGATGTAGTCCTAATTATTTTAATATGTATTGATAAATATATTGTACACGGGTCTCCTGTTCGGAAGACTTTTAGTATTTTAACAGTCTTCTGTAGTTACATTACAATAATGACGCCTAGAATATACTAAATGTTATTATTTTTTTTAAACGACCTAATAAAATAGAACATACTTACTCAAAGCACTGGGGCTACATTGTCTGTTGACTATAAATCAGACAAATAGTTTGCAGGAAATATAATTATGCCGGTTCGCATAAACAGCCATTAAACATTTAATGAATCAATAGTGAGCTAATGGTCCCTTAAACATGTCTACCTCTAAGCTTTATATTCGTGTTTTTTTCACTATACAATAAGTGATATGAATTTTGAAATAATATAATATATTATATTATTATATTCTGTTCCATTGTTTATGAACTTTACAGCTTTGGAAATTCAAACAATACATCAACGTCAGATGATTTTAACTCATCGTAAAATAATAACTCCCATTATCGTGTTACATGAGCTTTTAATGTACAGATTTTTATAAAGATTAAGTAGAATGAAAAACTAAAATTATTCCGTGACATCGTAACCCCAAATTTAGATTCGAAACAAAAACATAATTTTTTTTTTTTTTTTTTAACGCATTATATTATAATAGTTGCCTTTTATATTATGCTGATATTAGATTTTGGTATTTTAAAGAATTAAATTTGGATGTTCTTATGAGTTTTTTTTTATTTTTAATTTGAATAAAAAATATATGTACAAATTTATAATAATATAAAATTCCATGTTTAAAATTAAAATAGTGAACTATCTGTATACAAAAATTAAATAATACAATTTTAAATACATTTTGAGCCATGTTACTAAAATATTTTCCTACGTTATATATTTATTTGTGCGTGAATACCTATAAGTATATATTATTAACTTAGTTTGATTTTAAATCAATTTAAAGATTTTTTTTAATCGCCTAGGTATAAAAATGTAGGTTGGTAGAGTACCATAATATTTAAATAAATTCCAATATTTTTATGATATTGAAAATTTAATTATAGTTTAAAAGCCATAATTTATTTACGTCATGCCGTATTTTGTCACGTATTTTATCCACAAAATCATTCGCATTCATGGTATAATGTAATTACCAGTTACCGGCGTTAAAATCCAAAAGGTAAAAACGTTCGAGAGCCACGTGCGTACACCTACCGCGTACGATATATTAATTTGCATAACCATATCGTATCATTTTGATCTTGTAGCGCTTGGAAAGTGCGATTGGAATAAAAATTTTGATGACATCACGGCGGCATCGCTCTCCGCGATTCGTGTCGTTTCAAAAATATACAGCCCAATTAGCCCAACTAGCACCAACATTTTCATAGCTACTATAAGTATTCATTTTATATTAAAAATAAATATGTAGTTCATTCAAAATTGACTAATCATTGAATAATAATATAATATTGATATTATGAAGATATCAATAAAATCTATGAACTATGAATATTCATTTCATGTCTGAACTGATATATATAATATACACCTAATACATTTTTTTATTATATTAAATATTATTTTTATATGATTTATGCCCAGCTCTCATTAGTTTTTTAGAAGCTCTAGCCATTGTCTTTTATACACTGCATGTAGTGTTTTCTTTTATTCGATAAAAAATGTTTACGTCTCATACTGATACACTGCTCTTGTTACCTCGCAGATACCGGTACTGGTATGGATATACGGCGGAGGTTACATGTCCGGTACTTCGACATTAGACATCTACGACGGCGATCTGCTGGCGGCCACTTTCGACGTGATGATCGCCTCCATGCAGTACAGGCTCGGGGCATTCGGTTCGTTGTATTTAACGCCAGAGCTGCCAGAGGATAGCGACGACGCCCCTGGCAATATGGGATTATGGGATCAGGCGCTGGCTATCAAGTGGATCAAAGAAAACGCAGCGGCTTTCGGCGCTGATCCAGAGACAATTACGTTGTTTGGCGAATCGGCTGGTGGTGGATCAGTAAGTCAATTTGTTATTCACGTGTATTCATATAATACGAAGCGTATAATATGATATTTGTAAAGTTTTTAAACGAAGTCCATTTTCCGAGCGTATAATAATATTATGTAGGTACATAAAAATCATGTCTTAAAAATGTCCCTGCAGATACGTTATAATGGTGTAAAAAAAAGTGTGATGATCTGCTAACGAGTAATATAAATATATATTTGTTCCTTCACATCCCATTTTCATTTTTCATCGCGGTACACACTACATGTTCAAGCGGAAATGTCCCACTCAATAATCTTAATTTTACCGTGTAAACGTTACAAGGAGTGTTGTCGTACAGTCTTAGGCAGTACATTTGTCACTTATACAAAAATATTTACTGCGTTCACATATTTTGTTGGCTGCAAGAAATCATGTGTAAGCTTTTAGTTTTTCAAACCATTTCATAAAAACTAAAATAATTTTTCAAGTTATAAAAGAATACAATTTTATTAAGACCGTTCACGCATGAATTTGAGAAATTAAACACAACTTGGTCAAACAACTGTTCTCTCAAAAAATCGCTCAACTACCTATTAACTTTGGAGCATAAATTAATTATGTCTTATTTAGTTATTTTATAATTTAAAATTTCTTATTAAATTGTTTTGAAAAAAAAACACAAAACGTCTGTGTGATAATGTGTATATGATAATTAATATGCTTGTGTGAACCACCGCAAATTGACGGCCAACCGCCGTGGAATCTTTCTATAATTTGCGTATACTATAAAATAAAGATTTTAGAACATCCGCACTTGAACATAATATTATTATGTTCATAATATGGTGTGATATGGTGTGATATAGTGTGATCACAGACCACAGTGGTGAAAAATGAAAATGAAAGAAAAAATATATTATGTAGTAACTGCAAGCAATAAAGTAGTTTTTATAAGAAAAAAAAAATACCCGTAATTCGATATAAATTATACATCATCAGATTCCTTGATATTATGACTAGATCGTAATGCCAACTTTATTGATAATTTATCGTACAGGTGAGCGTGCACCTAATTTCGCCGGAGACAAGGGGCATGGTGAGACGTGGGATCATACAGTCTGGAACCGTGAACGCACCTTGGAGCTATATGACTGGCGAACGGGCAGTGGACATAGCAAAGAAGTTGTTGGACGATTGCAATTGCAATTCGACGTCGTTGGATAGCAACCCGATCGGCACCATGTCGTGCATGCGATCTGTCGACGCAAGTACCATATCCAAAAAGCAGTGGAACAGCTATTCCGGTATTTTGGGTTTCCCGTCTGCGCCCACCGTGGACGGGGTTCTCCTGCCAGAACACCCGCTGGACATGTTGGCTAAGGCGAACTTTTCGGACATCGACATACTCATTGGAAGCAATCTGAACGAAGGTAATTTTTTTTTTTCTAAATTTTGCTTAAAACTAAATCATATTTCAAGACTTAACACAGAACGGTTATGTTAATTTTTATGTATAACGATATTATTTAAAATCATTCATTAAGATTTACGAAACTACAGTTTGAAGCTTAGAACTGTCAACTGCTGAACGATTTGATATTTTGAGATAGCATATTTTAGTTCTGAGCTCACGTAATATAATATGTAGGTTATAGGTAGGTATAGGTATAGGTACCTACACGCTCGTTTAATATTTATATAACTATACCTATACAGCGAGGTATTAATTCTACGTATAATTTAATATAATTATATACTATACCGTCTTAGAAACGAGTTGGTTATTTGATTATTTTTTATATATGAAAAATGTAGTTCGTTTTAACCCATCACGCTGTTTTTGGTGTAGTGACTTCAACCGCGATCACGTTGAAGGTTATCAAATTTAAAACATTCCATGCACAGAATAAAATTAATATTCACATTCAGCATTACAATGCCAAGCAATTTAGAACATTCAGACCAATAAACGTGTAGAAACAAATAATACTGGATAAAAATTATTGTTGAAGGAATTTTGTAAAAAAAAATATTTGAACACAATAAAATGTTTATTCATATGCTAAACTTTTTTTAAGTTTTGTGGATTCAAAATTAGAATATTAAAATATACATTTATTTTCCTCAAATATTTTTCAAAGTTACATTCAAACATGGCTCGGCGGAAACTTAGAATTGAAAATTCAGATTTGTTCTTCTTTAAAAGTTATTTTTATTATTTCATATATATACCTACCTATACCGTATAAACTCCGGGCTGCATCAAAGTTTTGTTTTACAAAAATATGAAAACGTTCCTTCAATAACTGCTGAAAGCTTTTTACATCGTACATTTTCTTAAGTCAAATTGATTCACCGGTCAAGATAAATCACATATTTATGTAGGTGCAACCAATAAAATAAAATATTTTTTGTGTTAACAGAAGTATTGTTTATTTAAGCAATTTACTTCGATTATATTATAATGTCCAAAACCATATAAACTAATAAAATAAAGCAAATCACATTACGATTGAAAAGATTGAACTAGGATAATATAAATTATCATTTCATTATAGACAAGTAAAAAATAAAATATGTAAAATATTTCATTTTGGAGCCCCTTGAAGTAATTGTATGTTATTCAATGTTATTATTTAATGTAAATAATTTTTTTTTTTATAAGCAATTTTTTTTATTTAGATCAGTATTATACTGCTTATAAATAGTCCTAACTTAACCTCACTAAATTGATTTAATAATTTAGGTAGGTACATAAATTAAAATCTTCTACATTTATGTATGGTTCTATAGGTTTACTTTCGGTTCCAATTTTAATTTATTATCAGTGAATAAAATAACACTTGAAAACTTTTAGTTTTTATTCAAAGATGACATGTGTTTTCTTTATTATTAATTAATTAATAATCGTAAGCAATATTCTTATACTTAGGTTGAAAGATAATAATTCAAAAAATGTTTGTAAAATGTTTAATAGGTAGTTTTTTCATACATCAATTAATTTACAATATAATATATAGATACGTTCTTTTAGATTCTGTAGTAAAGTAAAGAATATTATTACATATGTAATATTAATTTAAAAAAATATATAACATAAATTGATTTTAGTTGGTGGGTATTAACAAAAAATAGTATATATTAGATCAAATAATTTATACTTAGATAAATGTGTTATTCAAAAATTTAATTCAAATTATATTTTAGAAAAATGATTATTTTTGAAATATTATTTTAGTTCGAGTTTGGTCTGTTCATAATACAACGAACTGATTTTTTCATTAATTTCAAATATGTAGAATACCTATTTAATTTTGTGATAATTAATCTCTTACATTTTAATTAAAAATATCTTGAATAACTATTTTCTGCAAAATCATATTTTGAATGACGAATATCATGTACACATATTTCATTGAGGTATCAATTAATATTATATAATTATTATTTATAATAGTTACAATAATAATTCAATAAGCCAAGCAGATCAATACTCCAAAGACAAGTGCCAAACACTTGTATTATTTATATAACTTAATGTTCATTAATACTAATGTTTTGATGGAACTTAAAGCAAGGTGCTTATAGTTTATACCAACAGTATTGTACATCGCATTTTTTATAGCGAACAATTTATAATTCATTATGTATTTTACGTATTCAAATAATAAATTGACACCAACGATACTTTCAATTGTTATTTGTATCAACGGTTAAGTCTAAACAAATTACTACCTATTGACGTTGGAATTAACAGAAAAATTAAATAAGTAATTCAGTATTCTACGCTCTGCGTTTCCATTACACATCATCATAAACAATTAATCCAACATAATTTTACACCTAGAATATATTTATTTATTTTTTATATAAGTAGTTAGTAGACAAATAGACGATATAGTGTTAGGGGACGTTACAGTGACATTTGTTGACTCCGTCTCACAAGTGCGTAACATAGCAAATTTTAAGCTCAGAAAAACACATTTATCTCCCGTTAGTTTAAAAATTAGAGCGTATTGACCTCTTATAAAATGTACAGGTAAGATTATTATCTAGTCAATGACATATTCTTTTAGTTATATTTTAATTTTAAAGCGAGTTATGAGTATTTTAAGATGTACAAACAGTTAACAATTTTAAAATACACATAACTCGCTTTAAAATTAAATTTGCTATGTTACGCACTTGTAATATAGAGAAACAAATGTAACTGTAACAGGCCTTACTTCATATTAATACAAAAATTAGTCTTATATTTTTATAAGTTTTGTAAATCCGTCCAAAAAATCATACATGTGTTTAATAATTTGGCAAAATAAAATTTCTGTCATTATATAATTGATTAAATGTACAATTATATAATAACAGAAATGCCCTGTCGTATGACAGATAGCTGCAATCATAAATATTTGTTTAATCTTAATATTAATAATTGTAGTTAGGTATCTGTCACAAAAATTCGACACCTGCTTAAATAACAATAACACATTTATTTTATTATTGTAAGCTAGGTACGTGATTGGCTGACAGCCTAGACAGTCGCACATACTATTATTATAGGTATAGAAAATCGAGCGCGATCAGCCATCTTAATTATTGTTCGGAAGTCAAAATAAAATACAATACGAATTTAAAACGTAAGAAAAATTATATGTTATTACGTGGAATGAAATCGGAAAATGATAAAATCTTATGCGGAAGAAAACGATTAAAACCATGGTTTTCTGGAAATGGAAACCATACGCTAGTTGTTCCAGCCAGTCGATATCATACGTTGCGTGTCGGTATAAGGTGGTCGGACGAAAAACCGGGTCAAAAGTGTAATAAAATAAAGAAAAAAATATAATATTATGTGATATACGTATATGCTTTACGTTTTATACAAATGTTGCCGAGACAAATAATCCCGTGCGTATACGAATTGGCAATCGAAAAGTTTACAGTTACGGCCATAAAAAAATAATAACAATAATAACCAAAAGAACATTCGGTCGGACCGCAGACGAACGGACGTACCGGACATTAATGTGTGACTGTCACTTGCAATATTTTTTCGCTTAAACCCAAATGGCACAGACACACCGACACTTTGACGTTAATAATATTTCGAACAAAATATATTATAATTTCATCATATTATTTTTTCCATGCCTGCGGAAATGTGCTTAATGTAGATATTACATATTTACACGCATACCGAGACACATCATTATTAATGAATTAATGCTCTTCCGTATTTAACCGATATTATGAAGCACATAAACTATGGATACGCGTACCTAAGCTTTAACTCTGAATATTGCATAATATTATCATGAACAAATTATATCTCCATAATATTTGGAATTACCTACGTTTACAAATCAACTAAAATAGTTGAAGAAATAATAACACTTATCTGGGCTGTTTTTTTTTAAAAAAAACTACTTTTTAAGAATTAAAAAAAAACTATTATCCACAAAACATTATTATTACAGACTATTACAAATTACATTTATTTTAAGATAAAAAGTAGTTACAATTTTGAAATATTTTTTTACATACAATTTTAGGTAGACTTTATTTTTCACTCTATACCTACTTCAGAATCTAAAAAAATGTATAGGTACACCTATGAAACATTTTACAATAATGTTATAAAATTTAGTTGAATTGTATTTCTGATTGTTAAAATATGTCTTGCAGTCATTACTTTTTCAACAATTAGGAAAACAAATGCTATCTTTGATTAAAAAACTAAAAGTGTCATCTATATTTCTTAACAAAATAAATCAAAATGGGAACCGAAAGAAAATCTAAAACCAAAAAGATTTAGGAGATTTTAGATTATAATATACGTTGATTAATTGTTATAAAATTGTACGGATTTTGTTAGGTTAGGTAACTATTTATAATAGCTAGTAGGTATAAAACATTAATAAGTACCATAAATTATGATCTAAATGTATTGGTTTTACAAAGATTTGTATGTTTTTTTTGTGTCCGTCGTCATATTTCGGAGCAGTAAACATAAATCAATCTTCAACTTTCAGAGTGGTTTCTAGAAGCAAATCGGATCTAGTTGGTACTTTAGGAGGTCAAAAGTAAAAGATTCACAATAAACTTTTCATACTGATCGATATGAAAAAAAAGAAAAGGTTAAACTAGAATTTTTACACAAAACAAGTTCTTGACAAAATTGATTTTGTTTTTTGTTGTTGTAATTCAATTCTGAACGAACATAGACACAAGATTATGTATGTATAGTAATTATTCCTTTACTGTTAAAAAATAAATTAATACGGGATCATTAAATATTCTAAAATTTAAATCTTAATCGTTACCTACGATATTATTTATCACGATATCGACTTACAATTTAAGAAATATCCTATAACCTTGATAGTTATTACTTTTTTGATTTATAGTCACACTATAGGTATAAAGTATA